AAATTTATTTGATAAAAAATTCTCATACTTGTGCCAATATGAAAATTGGATGCTAATATCCAATGGAGGATATGAAAAATAAAAAATTTTAAAAGATTATATTACAAGATTTGATATATATCAATTCCCAGGATGTCCTACCACTATAAAAGAATCTTGTCAGTTAAGGGAATGTCCCAACTGCATGTGAAGAAATAAAAGAATAGGACAAAGCACCTTTTGATAAAGGTGTATAAAGGACAATAATAGCACATGTGAAGACATTGAAGATAAAGAACAATAATAGAAAAAGATACTCTTTGAATAGAAAAGTTGAACCAACATGTGAAGATGTAGACTCAAGGAAGAAAAAAGAGCGACAAGTTTGCCTTTGCTGATGAACTCAATAATGTAATAGAATCTCAAAAACTTGTATAAATAGAGACATTGCAATTGATAGAAGGCATCTCATCTTATCTTGAAATCTCATGTTGTAAGCAATAACTACTCTTATAATCATTTCCAATTTGAAAAATCAATTTTTCTAAAAATCCCTTTGTACCAAATAGAAATCTTGTATCAATTCTAATAGAAATAAAATTTCAATATTTTGATATCAATATGAGTTTCTAAATCTTTTTCCCATAAATTCTTGAAAGATCTAATAGAAAGTTTCTTTCTTATTAGCAAAAGGGGAGTTTTCTTTAACAGAAATTTAGAATTCTATTATTTAGAAGTTGATACAGTGAGAGCAAGTAGTTGAAATAGTAACAATTTCGTGAAGGCAGGAGGCCGTTGAAGGAAGTAGTTTACAAATTCAGAGCTCGAAGGTCACTCGGTTCTAAAAATACAAGTCTACATCAAATCTAAGGTAAAAACTATTAAACTTTTGTTAAAATTAGAATGAATCTTTTTAAGATCTTAAAAGAATCGCAGGAATAATTGCATGATGATTATTTTAATAAATGTCAGGATATACAGTTGAAGGATTAGATAATTTATTAGAAAGAATGTTAGAAGAAATAAAAAAATTTATATTTCAATTAAAAAATATAAATTTACCATTTGAAGAATATAGTACTTTAATTAAAAAATATGAGATGAACGTTGTAAATTATTCTTATTTATTAGATCATATAATGATTTTATATTCAAATATCCAAAATTGAATAAACAGAAAATAAAATATTTAAAAAATTAGGGCATATGTTACAATATAAAAAGAATCATTTTATTAAGCTAATATATACCTTTCCATAAAAAAAAAAAACTATTAGTGATAGTTTTTTTAGAAAAATCTCCCGTTCATCAATACCCCCCAACGGCCACCCGACCCCTCTTTCTCCCTCTTCTTAGCGAGGAAATCATTGGAAATGACTCCCCAGCTGATGGATATTTCCAAACTGACCTTTGACTACTTTTATTAAAAAAAAAATTAAAAAAGATGAAAAATTGAATTTAAAGATCAAAACCCAAAAATACCCTCCTTCTCTTTTACTTTTCATCTGTCTTCCTCTGCCAAAAAATGACTAACACGTAAAAATAAAAAAATAAAAAAACCTCACCACAATCAGATCTCGTTGATCAGAGATCGGTCACCAATCAACACCGTCACCAACAACCAAGTCGCCGACGAACTTCTTCTTCTTGTGTCTTGGGTTGTTAATTGATCATATTATGATTTTTTTATTATTAATATAAAGGTGTGAACATTAAACTTAATATTTTTCAATTTATTGTTCGTTATTTAGGATAGATTGTTGATTATATGAGTAGATTTAGATTTTTTGTGGGTGAAAATGAGTTTTTCTCATCAGAAATGGCGATATCCGATGAAAAAAATGACTGACTGTTAAACAGACGGCTGTTAACAGTCTGCCGACTGTTTAACAGTCGGGAAAACAGTCTGGGCTGACTGTTAACAGTCCCCCCAGACTGTTAACAGTCAGTGGGCTGACTGTTAGTGGGCCAACTTTAACAGTCAGCCCACTTTTTTTTTCTTTTAAATTGATTAATAATTTAAAATTCCAATTTAAAATTAAATTTTTATTCTTTATTTAATTTTTCATTTACGTTTTGTTTAATTTATTTTATGTTTTCATAATTTTTTTGTTATTTTTTTATATATACATTATATTTTTTTGGTTAATATTTTTAAGTTAAGAAATATTAATTCAAATTTTAAAATATTATAAAAATTACAAAAGGAATATAAATATTATTTAATTAAAATTACAAAAATTATGTAAATATTCCTCTTAAACAAATTAGCAAAAATAATTTTTTAACCAAAATTAAGAATTTGGAATTGATAATTGCCAAAATTAAATATATCTTTTAACGAAATTACAAAAATTATATATATATATATAATCTAATTAAGAATTCTAAATTGATAATTACCGAAACTAGATATTCCTCTTAAGAAAATTAGCAAAAATATTTTTTTATCCAAAATTAAGAATTTCAAATTGATAATTACCAAAATTAAATATTTCTTTTAACGAAATTACCAAAATATTCCTACAATTAAGAATTTATAATTGATAATTACCAAAATTAAATATTTCTTTTAACGAAATTACCAAAATATTCCTACAATTAAGAATTTATAATTGATAATTACCAAAATTAAGAATTTGGAATTGATAATTGCCAAAATTAAATATATCTTTTAACGAAATTACAAAAATTATATATATATATATAATCTAATTAAGAATTCTAAATTGATAATTACCAAAATTAATAATTTCAAATTGATAATTGCCAAAATTAAATATATCTTTTAACGAAATTACAAAAATTATATATATATATATATAATCTAATTAAAAATTCTAAATTGATAATTACCAAAATTAGATATTCCTCTTAAAAAAATTAGTAAAAATATTTTTTTATCCAAAATTAAGAATTTCAAATGGATAATTACCAAAATTAAATATTTCTTTTAACGAAATTACCAAAATATTCCTACAATTAAGAATTTAAAATTGATAATTACCAAAATTAATAATTTCAAATTGATAATTGCCAAAATTAAATATATCTTTTAACGAAATTACCAAAATATTCCTACAATTAAGAATTTAAAATTGATAATTACCAAAATTAATAATTTCAAATTGATAATTGCCAAAATTAAATATATCTTTTAACGAAATTACCAAAATATTCCTCCAATTAAGAATTTAAACTTGATAGTTACCAAAACTAATAATTTCAAATTGATAATTACCAAAATTAAATATTTCTTTTAATGAAATTACAAAAATTATATATATATATATATATATATGGGTTAATTTCACAAATGGTCACTGAATTTATCGAAAAACTACAAAATTGTCACCGAAGTTTAAAACTTTCACTAACGGTCATTGAACTTACATGCGGTTACACTAACGGTCACTTAAGTTTCAAAACTTTCACAAATGGTCACTCATGTGGACCTTTCCGAAATTTCTTCATATTTAAGGCCTAAAACACCTAAGGGACCATACTTTGAGGGCACCCCAGTACTGTATTGGAGCAGCTGGATGATCAGCATGCAGATAATCTACGCTAGTCCTTCTTCTAGCCCCTATATATAATTTTAATTGTGATTTGTAAAAATTGTACGCATACATTTTTTATTTATGAAATAATTAGGGATGAACACGGTTCGGTTTGGACAGTTTGAGACAAATTTTCAAACCAAATCATTTAAAGCGGTTTGAAATTTTTTCAAACCAAACCAAACCAATTCCAAAACCAAACTAATCCAAACCATTTCTTACGGGTTTGATTCGGTTTAAAACCACGGTTTAACAAAAAAAATTAATATATATCAAATAAGTTAAATAATAAATATTAGTCTAAAATTTTATGTTAAACATAAATTGTATTATTGAAAAAAATACAAATCAAAGTTATAGAATTATAATATTATAATGCAACAATATGATATAAGTATTTTAAACTTGTAGTCGATACTAATGGCGTCCATTTGCAGTGTAATACATGATTCATTTTTTTCATAAATATAAAAATATACTACATAAATTCATTGATTATAGTTAAATGATATAAAATAATTAATAAAATAAAATGATTAAAAAAATTCAAATACAATAGTATCTAAATATTATAACTTTTTGTGAACCATTCAAAACTTCTACTAAATCTAAATATTGGTGAATTACTTTAAGGGAGACCAACAAACTGACAATTATTAGAACAAAATAATATAACTACCAATTAAAATATAAAAATAATTACCAAAAAATAAAAGAATTTTTGTAATCTGACTTGAATTTGAGCAAAATCTGATAAAATGATTAGAAGGAAATGAAATGTGCACGTTTGAATTAAAATCTAGATTTTATTGTCTGCTCAATTGTAATAGAGAATCCATAAATGTGGTTTAGCATCGGTTGTTCAACACTTTACCCAATTTGAGGGTTTTATATTCACAGTTATGATGACTCATGAATATTTTGATATGATTAATTAATTAATTGAGATGTATAATTGTCGATTTGAGTTTAATTGAATCACGTCTAATATAAATGTATCTTTTTAATTGAAATGTGTTAAGTTTTAATTGGGTTAAATAAAATTTAGACTAATTTATTTTCAAACTTTTTGGGTAAACGGTTTGGCGGTTTGAAACGGTTTGCAAAATTTGAAACCTAAACCAAACCACTTCAAAACGGTTTGGTTCAGTTCAAAATCAAAACTTTGACGAATTCACGTGGAACCAAACCAATGATTTCAAAAAAAGGATTTCGGTTCAGTTTTGCGATTTGAAGGTTTCATTTTTCAGCCCTAGAAATAATTAAAAAAATTGTAAAATATTTATGTACACATTGTATATTTAATTTTTTTGTAAAATATTTTATGTACACATTGTAAAATATTAATTGGCAGACCCGCTGCTATGTTTGACAAAATAAAACACTTGCACTCTATGATAGATGTCTCGGTAATTATTGAAGGAGGATTCTTATGTAAGACTGGATCTCTGGGGTGGAGTGATGTCAAAGATGTTCTGGAGTTCGGCTTCCGCATCTTGGGCTTCGGTATGGACCATCTCGACCATTGCACTTCAGCCTTCCAGCATTTGGGCTACGTCACAGTTTTTGCTTTTGGATGTTGAGTGTTCACCATTCCTAGGGGCTTCGGCAATCATGCCACATGGTTCGCACTGGGTGGGTCGATCATGTGTGTCAACACGTAATAAAATACCGTCACGTATATCACTCGTTCATCTTTATACTCATCAATCATTTTCATTTAATTCAAAATCACCAAAATAACAAATCAAGATTATAGTCATATCTGCATGACGAAACAAAATTTTTAATTAATTACAAAAAGAAATATTCAGAAAATTGTTTATTTAATAATAAAAATTATTAATTGTAAGAAAAAATTAGTGGCAATAAAAATTATGAAAAAAATTGACATTAAAGCAGTTGAAACAGCCTAAAAACAGTTGGCTTTTAACAGCCGACTGTTAAACAGTCGGTTGTTAAGACTGTTTAACAGTCGGCCGATTGTTTAAACGTCCGTTTGATAAAAATAAAGATGATTTTTTTTGTTCTATGCTTCTAAAAAAATTATAGATCTAATAAAAAAATTATCTGCGTTAAATACTATATCAAAATAAAATTTATCGATTAAAACGTACACTAATTTACCGAAACGAAATTAAACATGCGTAAATATACTTATTGATCTGAAGTGATTGATATAAAAAAAATTCGTTTTCAGTGTTGGAATTTTTTTTTAGATTTTGAGGTTGAAGCAGATGAAAAATGAGAATTTTTATCTGTGTTAAAAGCTAATTTTTAAATTTTAAGTGAAAAGTATTTGATTTTTAATTATTAACTAAAAGGGTAATAATGTCTTTTAAACAAAATAAGATTTGATAATTGTATAATATAATTAAGGGTATTTTTGTCTTTCAATGTTCAATAGGCCAAAGTGATAATATTTAAGTTTTGAAAAGTCAATATGAAATTTTGATGATTTGACTAGGTTATTTTTAAAAGTAACCCCTTCTTAGCCACCTCGGCTGCCGCAACCCGCCGTCTCTTTCAAGGGCATTCCGACGGCATCATTTCACCCAACATTTCTCGAGGAGAAATGCAACCTGTAAGTCTTCTAATTACTCTCCTGTTATGCTTAATCTTTTACTGTTAAGTTTGATTATTGATTTTGACATTTGCAATATTCGAAATCTCAGCTCTTAATAGCTACAGAAGAATCCCATTTTCTTCTCCGAATATTGAACGGCAGCTTCCAAACCCTCGACTTGTTAAAAGATCAGATTTCGCATATTTTTACCGATTTTTTTCGCTCGAAATCCAACCTCAACTTAATAGACCCAATGTAAGTAATTATCTTTTTATTTTATTCAAGAATTTTGAATTTTTATTTTTTTTAGTCAGTTTATTGAGTGTGAAAATAGGAGTGTAAATGCCGACCAAAATGAGCTAAGGGCAAAAGAATGGTCGGCAGAAAATAAGGAATTCTCGAATGGGAAAGGGGATTCTGGTGGTGCAGTTTTTAATGCATTGGATGCAATGTTAAAGTCCAGTTTGAATCGTTTAAAAGACACGAGGTTGGTATGATAATAAATTTCTTGCTATCTTAATGATTTATTTTATTTGTTTTTGTTTCATATTAAATCAGCCTGTTCTTCTCCTGTTTTTCCTGATATTTGTTAGAGAAATCCTTGTTTCTGGTGAAACTAAAACTGCATAATACGAAAAATTGCATTGCTTGTGAATAGTGATTATTGAATATTTGATTAGGTGTAGTTTTAGCATTTATAATTTAATGGAATTTTAGATTTAAAATATGCGTTTTAAGTGCTTGAGGTAATTTGTAAGAATGCCGAAACTTATTTCTTATATTAATGGCGAAAGCAAAGGAGGGGTGGGAGTGGTCTGATTTCAACTTCATATTGTAGAGACTTTAAACTTTTTGTAATGTCATTGTGAAACATTGTATGAAACATGATCAGAAAGGAAACACTATTGATGAGAAGAGAATGACGTGACTGAAAAAAGTGTCGCATAACATATTTTATGGTTCTCGGACAACCCAGGTCCTTCTCAGGGAGTGAAATAGGGGCGGGTGCAGCATCTTATAGCCTACCTTCGTCAAGATTATATCTGTGTGGACGTGTTAGTAACAATCATTTTCTGCAGCTCTAGTTCCCTTAATAATTGACTCAATCACTTGAATCCAGGCCACCTTCAACTATCTATCTTAGTTTGTGAGTATGAAACTGAAGATTACAAATGTTATTTTATTATTATTAATATAGACCAAAATTATAACGTATAAAATGTGAACTTTTTTCTTTAATACTATTTCACTTTATGAAATCAATAATGCAGCATATACAGGACTACTGCCTAAGGACAATTAATTCCCCCCCCCCCCCCCCCCCCCCGGGCGCGATTTGGGGCATTGTAATAGAGGATCATATGAAACTCAACGTCAATGACATATTTCATGAGTAAGATTGTAATATTTAGTTGTTAATATGTATGATTTTAAAATGATTTCCGGAATTCTGCAGGGAAAGCATCTCTTGGGCCCATAGTGGTCCCATACCTGAAACAAATTATTGTAAAAATGTAACTGTGATAAGAGCTTTGTGTTTGCAAGGTAAAGTAGGTGCAGCTTTCCATCTTTGGAATAAGATGATTCAGAAGTGTGCAATTCCTGATATTCTCACGCACAACTACCTTATGAACGCACTTTGCAAAAGCGGTGATCTGGGAAGGGCAGAGTGGCTTGTTGCTGAAATGTTAGACCGGGGTCCTTTTCCCACTTGTGCTACCTACAACACGTTAATGAAGGGTTATTGCATTAGGAATAATGTGGATAAAGCTTTGGATCTTTTTTCTACCATGGCTAGTCTTGGGATTACACCAAACATAGTTTCATGTAATATTCTTGTTGATGGACTTTGCAAGAAGGGTTTGTTGGAGGATGCCAGAAAGCTTCTTGAGAAAATATTGGTTGATGATCATAATGGAAAAACCTCAAATATGATAACCTCGACTATCCTAATGGATGGTTACTTCAAAACTGGAAATATGGTTGAAGCCCTCGCTTGTTTGGAGGAGATATTCCAAATGGGCATAAGGATGGATGTCATTGCATATAATGTCATCATACATGGATTTTGTTTGAATGGACACATGAACCTTGTGTATAAGTACATAAGCGAAATGTTTAAATGTGGTTGCCTGCCAGATGTGTTTACACACAATATCCTTATTGGCATGCTTTGCAAAGAAGGAAAGACAAATGAGGCTTGCTACGTCTTTAACGTGATGTCAAGAATGGGCGTGACCCCTGATCACATCACATACAAAGTGTTAATTCACGGTTTATGTATTAGTGGAGATGTAGATAAAGCTAATGCTTACCTTCACTGCATGTTAGTAAATTCGATTATACCTGAGCCACTCATTTGGAATGTCATAATTGATGGCTATGGGAGGCATGGAGATATACAAAAAGCTTTCTTTGTGAGAGACCAAATGGTTGCATTTGGTGTTCTGCCCAATATATATACATATAATATCATGATTCACACAGTAATAAGAAATGGAAATATTGATGATGCTCATTATCTGAAGAAGGAGATGCTCTTAAGTGGTCCTTTGCCCGATTTAGTCACTTACAATCTGTTCGTACGTGCTGCTTGTAATCTTGGTCATATTAATTCTGCACTCCGGCTGTGTAATGAAATGCTGAGAAGAGGTTATGATCCAGATATAGTAACCTATACTGAACTACTCAAGTGTCATTTTCTGAGAGGTAAATTGGAGGAGGCAGAAGAGCTCTTTATCAAGATATGGGAGTCAGGTTTACCAATTGATCATGTTCCATTTCTAGTACTCATGAAGAAGTACTTCAAGATGAGAGATCTTGACAAAGCATATGATCTTTATCAAATGTGGTTAAAGAGGGGAAGTTGAAAATAGCTCTATATCAAGGCACAGTGTTCAGGTTTACCTGTTGATCATGTTCCATCTCTAATATTCATGAAGTACTGCAAGACGAGAGAGAGAGAGAGAGAGCACTTGACCTTTGTCAAGTATGGTTTAAGTGGGAAAATGAGAATGCTGTCCTTGTGCATTGATCATTTCTCAGTTTTCTGATCCAGAATGTCTGCAGTTTGTCAATTTTTCTAGTTTCAGGTGGTAGAAGCTTCCTGCTCATTACGTTATTTCTGGGATCTGCTTTTGCAGGTATAGTCTTCATTTCTGTTCTTTTCTCTCTTTTTGCTAGTTTTAATTTAATATTGTAATTCTCAATTTCTTTCTGTTTCTGTCTCTCTCTTTCTCTATGTTATTGCATTATATATTTCTATTGTATGTTAGAAGATTTCTCATTCAGGAATCCTTTTCCTTCTAGCATTAAGTGCTGAGAGTGAATTGGGATTTTCGTTTTTTCTTCTTCTGTAAGAAATTTAGCATTGTGCTATGTATGGTTCATTGTCTGATGTTTACAGAAATCTGGACTCAGATAGATTATATGTGAGCAATCTATCATGTGTTTTGTGCATAAAATTTAGGCTGATCTAAAAGATGTATTTTAGACAATGATGAATTTCATTTCAACCTGATAATATTAGTGCTTGTTTGGTAGAGATTTTGATAATTGATTTTTTGATCGTTAGAGATAAAGTGGATCCTACCTATGAGAGAAGAATTCAAAAGTGAAGGCTGGAATAATGAAATAACGGTCAAAAAATTGATTTTAATTAGCTTTTAAGTTGTACCAAACAAGCCCTTAATTTTGATAATTATTAGATCACTCACTTTTTCTTTTTTAATAAATGATATTAATATTAAAGTTGACATTTGTTGATCAATCATTGAGTGAATTATATATTAGATGACATATAAGGATGCAATCTCGTGACAAAAAGTCGTAGTTCTTCAAATGACAAGTTTTTGCTTCAACTCACATTTCATATTTTTCTTATCAAATATTCCAATGTATAACGACATCCTTTTATACAGTTCTTTTACCATTTTCTCTTTATTATTTAATAACTAAAATCCCTGCTTTTTTGACATTCTCAGTTCTGCAGATAATACTTGATGGTTGGGCATGCCCCGTAACAGGGCCTGCGGCACCCCATGAAGAGAACTTGCCTGCTGATGTATGCCTATGAATGACGAGCCTTGTGGCTGGCGAGCAAGATACGGAAAGCTGGAAGGAAAATATGTAGGACTTCTTATTCATTGGTCCCTGTGCGGTTTGGGAGATCTTATTTATGGAAACGAGACATATATCCCTTATGCTGTACCCAATGGAATTTCATTTAGCATGCTCTGGGCAAGGCGCGAGTTCACATTATTGCTCAGTAACCTCTTGCCGCTCCAGGCTTGGTACCAACTATTAGGATTAGAAGCTAGGTGATCAAGCTTCTATGTTCTTGGGCTTTATATGTTGAAAACAGTGACTTTTCATTTGTTTTCTTTAATTATCTTTGCTGAACCCTGATGTTCTTTTCATTGTTTTCCTCGGGAACTATGCGATGTCTTCAGATGACTGTAAATTCAAGACATGGGGATAGTGTGAGATTTTGTACCTTAAAACTCAATTGGGAATAAATCCCAAGTTTAAGTGACGTTCACATTGTTAGCAAAGGATAATTTGTGCATCTGGCCGAGCTTAAAAGTAATTTTATTTCAGAACATGTTTGGTTATGTTATTTATTATTATTATTGTTATTATTATTATTATTATTATTATTATTATTATTATTATTATTATTATTATTTTATGTATTTTGTCAATGTAGCTAAGCTTTTACTTGTGAAGTAGATGGATAAATCTTAAAAGAAATAAATATTTTGATCAAAATTTGACATATATTATATATTTCGGTAGTAGCAAGTTTCTTCACTTAAAATTAAGGAAAAATAATTGTAACAGGTCCAGAGATACTTAGAAGCAAGAAATTATTACAAGTTCATCATGTCCTAGTTGATTGGGGATCATTGTTTCCACAATTGAGGTTAAGGGATCTAGATTTGATATCTCCTATCCTTCACTCCCAAAATTTATATATATATATATATATATATAAAGAGAGAGAGAGAGAGAGAGAGAGAGAGAGAGAGAAACGAGCTTTTATTTTACTTATTTAAAGTTACCCGAACATGCAAGTAAAAAGAGATGTTCATCTTAGAAGTAATTTTTTTTTTGTCAAAATAAGTAACTTTATTTTCAAAATTTGATCAAAAAAAATTATGGATAGATAAACTTATTAGGAAAAAAGAAGTCTTTCTATTGCGACAATCTTGGAAAAATTAGGATTGAGTTCGACCTTTCACATGGTACGGTTATGTGCTTTCAATCTTTAAATTCGTGATATTGGATTGTGAACTTATTTAGATATGTAAATTTTGGTCTCAACGTGACTAAAATTGAATGTAAAATCAGCGCGACTTTCAGATCAATTGGAGAGAAATGTAAAGCAGTTTGATAGTATTGCTCTTCAAACTTTTAAGTCACGTATAAAAGTGATTTAGATCACACTTTTACGGATTATAAGAATGTATAATCACGTTGCTACGTTAAAGGTTAAAAGCATTGTCCAATTTACCCAACAGCCTTGTCTGGGCCATTATTACATGACTCGTGCTGGAATAAGAATAGCCACGCATCTCTTATTGTTTTTGACATTACATCTACAATTATGTGCTGGCTGCCGCCTACGGGAAACAATTTCTTTATAAATTAATTTGAAAATGATTTTATATTGAATGTTTTTATGATAGTAATATTAGAGTGTATTATATGTGTTTGACGTTTCTCTTTCCAGATGAGACAATGTCAGGAGGACAACTTCTAGTAAACAATAAGTCTTGGTGTACATAAATTATGTACATCAAGGTGTCCACACCCCTCACATGTGAGTTGTGTGAACACTCCTATGTATCCAAATTATGTACACCAAACACAATTCTCTAGTAAAACACAAGTGACATGGAGTTACCCACCTTGTAAATCATGTCTGTTCGGACTAAAGTGAATTGTAACGACTACTATTGTGTCACATATAGCTCATGGAAGATCTACTTGTGAGTTCATTGAATTAGTATTCGTCATTTCTTGAAGAACGATAGATCAAGCAACAAACTATGTACTGTTATAGTTCATAGAGTCCACTGTCACCCCCTTGATTCTTGAAATGGTCCTACCAACTGAAATCATGGATGCAACCATAATTAGGATTGAAGAGAAGAAATTATGGAACGAGGACGAGGTAGGCAAAAGAAAGTCACAAGATATAGGTACAAGACTTTTATGTGGCCAGAGTAATTGAAGTTAGATCCCACTTGATTTGGACCTAACCTAGCATGTTCTTAATTTGCTCCAATTGCAATAAAACAATCATATGTAGCCCCTACATGAGGTGAGGCAAGATCGTTATATCATCTTCAGTTCATGAACTAATTCAGATATGTGAAGTTAGTCGAGTTACCAACATATTTATCACGGCTCATAATGGAAATCGATCATGTAACTCTTTCCAATCGAGTTGTTCATAGCTCAAGATCAATAAGTCAGGCTAAACTTTTATATGTATGCCATTTTTTCTTAATTTCAATTTTAGCTATCCATATTCTTCTTTGAAGTTGGGAAAAAAAAGAGAAAAAAGAAAAAAGAAAAGGAAATTGATTGCTTTTATACAGATAAGAAAAAGGTTCACGGAATTGTTTGTGGAGAAGCATCTTTTTTCTTTATTGTGGGAGAGGATAAGAAAAAAGTGCACGACATTGGATCTTGTGAACTACCAACTCGGCCACTGATCCATCCTTCCATATAGCAAATGTTTGATGTTTATTATTAAAAAATAAATAAATAAATAAATTGTAAAAAATAAATTTTGAAAGTTTTTTTTTTTTTTTTTGGGAGATTGTATGGTTAAAATAAAAAAAAAAGTTTCTAATATTCGTACAAAATATTTAACTGAGAGAATGTGGTTTTGAAAATAATTTTTTAAAGAATGGCACGGGAGCAGGGACAAAGTTGTTTTTAAATTTTTGTAATAATTGTACAATCAATTTCTCAGTGAAATATTTATTCTTACAAAAATTTAAAATAAGATTTTTATACAAATAAATGAGAGTCGAGTCATATTCCAAGATATTACTCATTTGAATTTATACATGTATAGTTGATTGGCATTAGAGGTTAGCATTTTTTTCCCTAGAATCAGTGGAATCTGATCGGAACCGATCGGTTCAATTTTGGTTCCTTTATTAAATGGATCGATTTTGTAGCCATGCATCGAGAGTCGATTGGTTCAGTCTTGTTCTTGGTACTACTTGAAGAATCAATATTAAATTCAGTTCTTCCTGGTTTCTCTTTTGGTTGGCATATTGCACAAACAATTTTGCCATAGAGATAGGGTTAATGACAGGATTTAATATACACATATACTTGGCATTTTTTCATTGGCAATTAAAAAAATATTAAAGAAAAAATTGCCCATCAAAAACTGCCACTTCATTCCCAGGAAAATTCCCCTATCATTGACATTGTTTGTTCAGCATTTTCCTTGCATAAATATGCACCAAATAATTGAACGCTAGATTTTAAATTTATTGCACATCAAAATTTCACCATCCATACACTTCTTCTTCTTTCTTTTACAATAAATTTTAACGAGTAATCAACATTTAAATCTAAATTATTATATATACACTTCACAAAAATTCATAGATTTAATGCAACCCCAATAAGAAAAAGTGTATTTTTAGTCCAATCTTTTATAAGAACTCAACTTTTTTGTTGTTTTCAAAGTGGTCGATCATCAGAATCAAGATCTTCTCCTTAAAGATAACATGATTATAAATACTACATAAATTTTTAATATATATTGTTGTGTGAGTTTATTTAAGAATTAATTTTTTATCCAAATTTTACAATTTATGTTGTGTTTGATAATCCATCCTTGTTATGCCCTCATCAATTTATCTTGAGCTTTGGAGTGTATTTTGTTTGTTGTCTTATTTAATTAACTCTATTTTATCTATTTTTAATCTGACAAGTAGTTTAGTACTTTATTTTTATAAAATTCTTAATATAAAGAATTGGATCGATTGTTTTGGTTTCTGTTCGATTCTATAGTTAAATATGGAACAATTGATTTCGTTTTTAAGATTTTCATTGGTACTTGATCCGATTTAATTTCCTTGAAATGGGATCGAACCAAACTATGCTCGCTCTTAATCAGTATGAGATTGTCCAATATCGGTGGGCCATAATCTAATCTACACATGGATCTAAGGCGAAAACATTTTAGTATCTAATGGTCAAAGATTGAGAAGATAAGAGGAATTATGTCCTACGAATATTAACAAAAAGTCATTGATTCGACATATTAAGTACAATTAATCACTATTTATGTTCTACATGCATTAAACACAAATTGTGTTGAGCTTGACACGAACTCCTGTTTGACAATCATCATAATGGATTTTCTTGGGAAAATGAGTTTTGAAATAGTAATTTTTTTAAGAATGTGTAATTAAAAAGTAGAAAAAAAAGTATTCGAATTTATGTGCAAAATGTTTTATTATGAAAATATTATTGAAAATGAGTTTGAGACACTTTTAAAGAATTTTATTTTACTAATTGTCAAATAGGACTAAATTTGACACGTGTCAAAGAAATATGGCTCATCTACGTTCGACACCAATTATTTAAATTTAGAGGTCAATACTTCAACTCAATTTACATACCTCAAACGTCAAGATATCTACTCAATTTTTGCTTTCAAGTAAAGAATAAAAGAATACTGTATTATAAACCAGCCATAAAAAATACAAATATAATCATAATGGAAAACCAAAATTTGTCCGTTGAACCTTTTTTTAACAAACCTAGAATATATGGCTTCCTGAATAAAGTCAAATTAATCCATATTGGACCACATAATTACAAAAATATACACATACATACATAACTAGCTAGCATTTCGTAGATGCCTTTCCCACTTCCACAACTAGACAAATACTCCCCAAGTCCTACCCGTAACCCATTTCAGGGGAAATACATGAAAATAACCCAAATAAAAGAAGGATTTTCCAAAATGACCTTTGACTTTTATAAACATTTTGAACTACCTAAAACACCCTTAAACAAATATTAAAAACAACCATTTACATAATAGAAATCTTCTATCTAAGTCCTTAAAAAGAATCTAACAAGTAATTTTTCTAAAAATTTGTGAAAATTATTAATGAAAAATTATAAAATAGAAAAACTCAAATATAAGAGAGGACCATATAATATAAAAAAGATTGTTAAAAATAAAAAAGAAATTAAGTTTGAAAAAGAAATCGATAAGATAGGATATCAAGAACAATTATATGCATCACAAGAAATATTAAAATGTTTCAAAGAAAACTTATTAGAAAATTTTGCTAAAAAAATTGTAAGATCAATAATCATAAAAGATATACAAGATATAATAGATAAATTGAAAAAAAGAAAGAAAAATATCTCAAAATATGATATACCTTTTAGAACAGACATAGATATGATAACAGGTATTGATATTATAAATTCCCAGACATTACTAGATTTTGAAGAATTACTTAAAAATTTA